ATTGGAGAATTTAAATAGGAATGGTATATGATTTAAGTTATAAAGGTTTCTTCTGCAAGTCAAGAGAGAAGATTATAGTGAGGCCTAAGTAAGATCAGGGAGAACACAAAATGCTATAGGGTAGCAGCTCATGCAGGAAATATGGGGGGCTTTGATCTAGGTAGCAGAATAGTAGTGAAGGAAACATATTTAGTGAAAATTCTGAATGAAGAGTTAAGATAATAGTCTACCTTCTCTAAGTCTCCAGATTCAATAGGAATTTATCATATTGGCTTTTCTTAACCTAAAAAAGCAAAAAGAATCTGGATTTAACAACTAAAGATGGTGTTAAGTTTATTAGCTATGTTGGGAAACCTCAGGATTTAAATTCTCTGACCTCTTCTGTTTTATCAATAGAATTTAAATAGCACTTTCTGTGCTTTCCTTACATGACTATATGAAAGTCCAATAAGATACTTTATAGCTGAAGTTCCAAACTAGTTTTAGCTTAATCAACCTGCTAGAGTAGCAAAAGACCATTTCACTGTAAAAATTGCCATTTAACGGATAATTAAATGTTAAAATCTAGTAAACCACTCTCTAATAAACATATCAAATTGGTAGTATATGCCTTTAATCTCAGCACACAGAGAGGCCTGGTGGATCTCTGAATTCAAGGCCAGCCTGGTTTACAGAGTGAGCTCCAGGATAGCCAAGGCTACACAGAGAAACCCTGTCTCAAGGAAAAAAAAAATCAAATTGCAATGTGGATCTACTAACCATAAGGATAAAAATATTATATATATGAAAAATAGGTAATATATAACATATATGACTTTATACTAAGTTTGCTTCATAAGCATATCACATCACTGGAAATAAATAAAAACTAAAAATTGTACAAATGAATTTGAAATAAACTATGGAAGACAAATACACACAGAGTTTATAGAATTCTAGTCAAAGAAACAGTACTCAGCAAGCAAAAATATATTTGCCATTCATCAAGTAATTTATAAAGTGGTACATATTTATATGTTTTCAAATAAATCAAAATGTTTAACACTGTGTATATTTTCAATGAAAATAAAATAGAGCACAATTTGTACTTCTAGAAAACCTGAGTTTGCCACAACCTATGTCAGAAGGTTCACAACCTCCTATAACTCCAGTTCCAATGGATCCAATGCCTCTGGCCTCTGTGGACACGCATGTGCACGCATGCACACACACACATACACGCCCGTGCGTGTCCAAACCTACATGGAGATACACATATATGCACCTAAAATAAGTCTTGGGGCTAGAAAGATGACCAGCAGTGAAGAGCACTCGCGGACTGCTCTTCCGGAGGATCCAGTTGGATTCCCAGCACCTACAGGGCAGCTCACAACTATCTGTGACCCCAGTTCCTGGAAATTCAGTGCCTTCTTCTGGCCTCCATGGACACAGGGCACACGAGCAGTACACAGACAACTGTGCAGGTAAAACACCCACACACATAAAATAAAATAAGAATTGTTTTAATTCATACTTACTGATAGTTTTATTTTCTGTAACCCATTTTCAGTTAAGCAACCAATGGTGTAAATGATGTTTCATTCTGTTAAAAAGCACATCAATGCCTCGTTTTCTGTATTATCTTTACCTAAGAATGTCCTGTGGGCCTTTTGTTTTAAGGTCAGTTTCTGGGCCTTATCTCCGGATGTTTTGTATTCTCTAACACTGGAGTGAGGCTAGAACCCCTAGTCTGTTAATAGTGAAGACTAACTGAGATATAAAAACAAAGCAACATATTTGCTTTTCAGAGACTTTACAGTGTAAAGGCAGCAAAATTTTAAAAAATGAAGTGACTAGAGGCAAGTGGTGAGAACTGGCCTCACAGAGGTGGTCATTCAAATACATGGTACAGGCTAACTGAGAGTTTTTCCAATTACATGTGTTAAAGGTGCAGAGTTAACCATTCTAAATGAAGTCATGGAATGCAAAGAAGCATTATCTATGTGACAGCATGATGCTTTGAAACAATACACTATGCCTAGGGAAAGAAGGACATAAATATTGTTAGGAAGATAAACAGGACAAGTTTCTAAAGAGAATTATGCGTAAAAATAAAGATTAAAAGATTAAAATTTATTGTAGAAAGCAGTATTTTCAAGCTGAGTCTCACAGAATTCATATCCAGGAAAGTAGTTAGTGTATGCTGCAAATAGCTGAGGAAGATGGCCCTCAAGGGCACATATTGAACCTAAAAGAGGTCATAATAAACTGACTCATTAGCTTGTTTCTCTATTCCCTATTCTCTATGAGAATTTTTCATTTATTACGAAGAGTTTAGCTTTACATTTTTTAAGAGTAACAAATACCCGTATATACCTGACTATGAACAGAATAATACAAAACCACAAAATACAAAAAAGTATTGATTGGCTGCATAAGTTGTTATTATTCATCAAATAAACTTAAGCCAATAAAACATCACATCTATTTGTTTTAATCAATTTTACTGGAGTATAACAAAGACTTTTGTTTCTAGAAAACTACTGCTCTATGGAAACTAACATAGAATTTGTCCTAAGCAAATAATATTGCATTTGGGTAATCACATTATTACAATAAAATGAAGTATAATAAGCTAGAATAAGAAGTGAGGAAATCAGAACGTATTTTTAAGAATCAAATCAAGGAAATAAGATGAAATGAACAAGTACTGGGGATGGGAAATGGCATAAAATTCAGAAATACAAAGGAAATCAGATTTGATTATTCAGATAGCAGAGGGTAGCTTAGTTAAGAAGAACCGAGTCTAGATTTGCACTTCAGTTTTAGCCATGATGAAAAGGTCCCCAGAAGATGCTGACATCTTACTATTCAGAATGGAATGTTCTTTGCACATTTAATCAGTAAGTCTAAATGAAGTCCTCATTTCAATAACAGCCCTAATTTGGGAATTTCCTTAATCCATATTATATATCCATTATAGACTATGTTACCTATAGTGTAGTTACATAATCATTTTTCAAATTTAACTGTAGGCCTGTTCAAAGATGCTATTGTGTTTTCCTTATTTGGTCTGACTGCATAGTCAATACAGCTGTCTAGCCCCATAAAACTTGTTACCCTAGATATAACATATATTATAATGCCTATATTTGTTCTACTACAAATAAGGTAATATTTTTAACTTTAATAATATGAATATGTGATCATTCCTCTCTACTTGTGTACTGTCTTCACTGTATTGTCTTCTCAGATTCTAATAAGCTTTCTTTCAGGTAAAGAAAACAGAAATATTTATTCACACACTACAAATGCAGAAATCAAGGTTCTAGGAAGAAAAAATATCTTGCCCGTGATAGCACGGCTGTCAAATGGCAGGGTTTACTTTTTTTTTTTTAATCTTCTTCCTGCCATGGCATACGTCTTTGAAATGGTACACACTTAGCTTCTGCCACCTGTCATGACCATTCATTTCTTAATAAATTTGTACGTGACCATGTGCTCCACTTTATTTCCTGTGTCTACACATACCTCTGCCTTTTGTATTTAAAGTTTCCTCTACTACCTTTGCAAACTCAACTGTCCAACATCCAGCTGTTTCAGAAGTCCACCTTATTTTATCTCAAGCAAAATTCTTCTGTGTCATTATTACGTTCATTAACCAAGGGCATTAGGAATCTTTTCTTCAGAATGTTGGAAAGTAGAAAAACAGAGAATCTCCTGAATAGCAGCTCAAATTTGGCTTCCAGGACTCTTTCACATGGTTGTTTCATGATCGCTATTAAGCTCTTTCTTAAACTGATATAATATCTATTACTTCATCTTGAGAGGGGGAATCACTATTGTATTCAAATTTCACGCAATTGATTAAATCTGTTTAATTCTAAATAACCTTGCCCCTTAAGTAAACTCACAACTATAGATTTAATATTTTTATAGTAATCTTTCTAGGAAGAGCTGAGTCAATGACTGAAACTTTACCTTATTATGTACCATTATATATACATTAGATATAATTACTACAAAATTAAGAATTTGCAAAAATTTTTTCTCTTTTGAAGTATAAAATTTTTGGAACTTAATTCCTGCAATTTCTAAAGTTTACTATTTTTCTTATTGTGTATTCAAACACATTTATAAAACTATATTTACTTGTATCATACAAATGATTTAAAGCTTTTTTTCTTGTGTAAATCATGTCAAAATTACACTGAAAGGCAACCCCCAAAAGAACAATAAAGAAAATATGCCATATCATAACGCGACACTATAATATCTTTATAAAGTAAGGTCACATCTGTTTTATTAAGTCTCATTTTTTTTCCTGTCCAAAATTCTTCTTGTTTATTAGAAGCTAAAAATTCAAATATAAGTGCCTAAAATGTTTTCTCACTGAATCAGAACACTGGTTACTGTGGAGGGTTTTGTTTGTTTGTTTGTTTTGTTTTTGTTTTTAGTATTGCAAGTTCTCATAGGCATTAATCCCATAGGATCTGTGCAATTTTCATAGGTTTAAGACCCTTTTTTAGTATCTAGAATTTTAAGACAGTGTCATTGGACACATTAATCTATTACCTGCTTAATTCTAGCAACATGTTAAGAGCGTTTTTCATTTCACACTGAACACAGAAGAAGAATAACAGTTTCTCTGGATGAAAACACAGTGACTATCATTTCTTCTTCAATTCACTGCTTATACACAAATGTGTTTTGACCACTTATTGGGCCTGAACATTTTGCAAATGCTACCTTTTGTGTGTCTTTTCCTTCTCTTCAAACTGCCATCGTTGTTTATAAACTGATGCCAAAGTTGACGTCTCAGATGTTTTTATTAATTCAAATTGACCTAGTTCCAGGCTCTTTGATGCTGGCGTCTGGACAATTTGCAGCCCTGCATAAGTACGCACATGTGTGTGTGTGTATATGCACGTGTGTGTGTATATGCACGTGTGTGTTCCCTAGTTTCTTCACAACAGTAAAGTAAAAATACAAACAGGCCCCAAAGCCAATTCAAAACTTACCTTGCAAATCTGGAAATAGTCTGAAGTCAGGCTTTCCTGAATTTCCTCTCTCAGAACCCCTGCAGTCCCTCCTGGATGTGCGGAGCCACCTCCAGCCCCGCCACTGTTACCGCCGCTGCTGCTCCCACTGCCAGGGGAAGAGGCAGTTAAGCCATCCAAAACTTTTCGGAAATTAAACTTCTTCATTTTAGACACTGTCGGAAAATTAAAAGGAAAAAGAGAAAGGGTGACAAACACGGAATTGTACCGGGCAAAAGCCTTCACCTCTTCTTCAGTGGAGGCAGGAGTAGCTGGTCCCCATTTTATGATGGAAGCGTGTGGAGAGAGAGGGGCTCAGGCTTCATTTCATCAAAATTTAACTTTTAAAGGGGTATCTTTATAAAACAGAAAGAAGACGGCTCCAAGAGCAACAGTATTCCTTCCTCACACACCAGAATTTCAAGGGCTTTATCCCCAGCTCTAGCTATGCTTTATCAGCACTGGGGTAAAAATAAAAGGCAGTGTCATCATCGTCATTAGCATTATATCATCATTATTATACAATCAAACCAGAGCCCAACACACCAAGACCCTCTAGACGGCTCTAAAAGGGGTGGGGGGAGGGCCTTCCTACCTAAGGGTCAGCTCGGAAAAATTTGATTATGAGAAAAAGCGATGTTGTGAGGGAACCAGTATTTACTCTGCCACCATGTTCGGGGCTCCCCCCCATCATCTTCAAACGCTCCCTTTTTCCTCAATAGGAATTGGAGGGGGGGGGTAGGGCAAAAAAAATGCCTTTTTTGTCCCATCCCCAAATTCCCAAAAACCCGGACCCCAAAACATCTGCGGGTGACTCACGGCCACAGCCGACGGGAGGGGCGAGCGGGGACGGGGGGGGGGGGAGAGCCACCAGCCTCCACCTGTCCTCGGCTCCTCTCTCTCCTGCCCCTCTCCCTCCCTCCCCCGCCCGCTCCCCCTCCGCACAGCGGCGGCTCCCCCGGGGGATGCGAGGCAGCGGTGACGCCTGCGGCCCGAGTCCCGCCTCAGCCTGCGGGGCGCGCAGCGCCGGCTGCCTCGCTCCCTCCCGGCCGAGCAGGGCGCCGGGGGCCACGGGCGCGGGCTGCGAGCCCGGGAGCCCTCGCGGGGAGCCGCGCACCGCACCGCGGACGGCGGCGGCGCGGACGCTCTCCACCTCCTTCACAGGCGAGCACACGCACACGCACACACAAGCACACACACTCACAAGCGCACACAGGTGTGCGGGCAAAGCCACGACGGGACGGCCAGGGTGTCCCCGGGGACCCCGGGACTTAGCACCTTCCTCGGACGCCGCTAAGCCGCCGGCCAGCCGGGGAGGCGGGGGGCGCGGAGGCTGCGGGCGGGCGGGCGGGCGGCCGACGGTCCGGCCCAGCTCCGGCCGCTTCCCGGGTCCCTCTGGTCCTGGTGCCTGGCGCTCTCCGAGGTCCTAACTGAGCGGGCGGGTCTGCCGCAGGCCCCGCCCCCGCCGTGGGAGGTAGGCCCCGCCCCGGCCGGCCCGCGCCCTCCTCCCCCCTCCCTCCCTCTCAGGCGGCGGGGGCGGGGCCGCGCCAGGGAGTCAGGGGGCGGGACATCCTCTCGCCAATCACAAGCTCCACTGGCCCTGGTCCCCGGGGGCACTCCGGGCAGGAAAGAAGTTTGGGGATAGGTCGGAGGAAAAGCCAGCGACGGGAGGCGGGGATTATTTAGGGAAGTGGGCGAGGTGTTTGATTGACAGGCGTGCTGGCCAGTGCGCCCCGTCGCCGTGCTTTGGGGGCTGTAATTGGCGCTACCTGTTGAAGGACGCAAGTGGGAATCAATAGAATGCTTGCAAGCTTGAGAACTTGCGCTCCCGGACTCCCGAGGCTGGAGGAAAAGGTTACCTTGGGTCTTGCTCTGGACCAGATTGTGACAACCCCCCCACCCTACCCTCGCCCCCAATCCACCCCCACCCCAAGCCTTTTCTTTTCCTGAGCTCCCCTCTCCGCTCTGCTGTCTCGCTGCCCTGCACTCTGCGCTTGCTGTGGATTTTTAAATAATCCCTAGAAACTGATAGCCTGCTGCGGGGTTAACAAATTGGTTTTCGATGGAATGTTGGCTTCCAAATCTTAAGGAATGGGTTTGCCCATTTTGCACAGCCTACGACGCAGACCCATAGACAAATCAAACATTTGAGGAAACGTTTCTCTCGAATGAGGTCAAGAAGCAATTTTAGCTTTTTCTCATCTTGGATCATTTTGGAAAACACTCTATTCCGCACTGGAAGAGAGACACTGCGCCATCGTGAGAAGATGAAGTTCTGAGCCCTGACTGGCTGTTGTTAAAAGGCTCAGGGTCCATAACTAACTGTATGCCTCAATCTGAGCAACAGGGATCATTAGTAACCATCCCAAATACTTACTGTTTTACATCTTAGGTGTGGGATGACACTCCCAGACCCACCCCTTTCTCTGTCAGAGGAGAGGAAGGAAAGGGGAGCTTTGAATAAAGTATGAATTACTCAGGCAAACAGCAAAGGAAACCATGGCGATCGAATAGCGCTCAGATTTTCGGATCCTCAGCTGGATATTCACATTCTCATTTTGAATGTTTCACTGCCTCACGTTTGCATTGCTTCTTTACATAATCCTCCTTATACTTTCATTGTCACAACCAGATAATAACTTTCTTATTGGTGGGAATGGAATCTTTGTGCTTGTAGTTAATTTAGTACCTGGCACAATATTTCACTTGTAAAAGACATTTAAAGGGTTTTTGGACAATGGATTAGTTAATGGTTATGAGTTAAAGATTTATGAGATGATACTCAATTTACCGTGCATAGGAGAGGTGAAAATAAGTATGGAAACAAATTCCATATCTGTTATAAACTAGGTCTTTATATGCTTCTAAAATCTATATTAGATTCCAAAATATGTACCTTTGTCTTTAACTGTCTTCTCTTACCCTTATTTCTTTTCCTGTCCTACTGTTCATTTCCAAACACGGGTGTCAATGAAAGCTAAAGACTTTTCTTCCTCTTTTTATGTCTGGCTTTTCTTTTAGTTGGCGAATGAGGCATTGTTGAATAGAACGATGGATTTAGAATGCTTTCTTCAGCAAAAGTTGGCCTACCTACTTAGGTGTCAGATAAATGAAAACAGCTCATAGCATATGGAGGTCTGGTTTTTGGTCAAGAAAGAAGATATTCCAGTTCAGCAAAGAGACATAAAATGTTTACAAACAAAACTTAAATCGCAAATCACAAGCATTGTGTTATCACAAGCTGTGTGGCGATCTATATTCTATGAAACAGGTTGACAAAGATTTTCCTGAAGATCATGAAGGGACTTCAACAACCTGCTGAGTTTTAAAAAAATATAAAGAAGCTATAAAGCACACAGAAGTCCAAATGGGGCAACAAATAGCTATGAACTAGAAAAAAAGTGGTGTCAATATATATATATATATATATATATATATATATATATATATATATATATTTCCAAATAAATATTAATTTATTAAAACAGCTGGTAATGTGACTCAGTGGTAAAACATTTGTCTAACTTGTGCAAAGATCTGCTTTTATTATCATAAACACACACAAATAAAATTTAAAAGAATATTAAATACTTTAGTTAGGACTCTGGTATTATTTTTAGAATTAGCAAAACTCTACAGTAGCACAATAACTTACATGTGTTGAGAATTCAGCATATATTAACTTGAATACAAGATGAATGTAAAACTTTTAGCATAATTGTAATGGTGAGAGAGATAAAGAGAAAGAGAATTAGGCAGAAAATATGGTGATGAAAAACTAGACTAGAAGCAAAGATAGAAAGTGGCAAAAGGCAGAAGACACCTTGTATGTTGGGAAACAGTAAAAAGAATCTTGCTACATGAATCATAATGAAATATTTGTAGAAGCACATTCCATCCTGAATTAAAAAGCAACAGGGTGTTATTCTATAAATCATTTGGTAGCAGGAATGAGATCAGAGCATACAATATATCTTATAAACAATGTGAAAAATGCTAATGCTGGGTCAAATAATGATCATTCCACTGTAAACTTAAGGAAAAACCTCCCAGGAGGAATTGCCTGAGTGGAGTTTCTGAGTAGGCCACGGCTTCTTCCTACCTATATGATAAGCACAAAGAACTACCTCCAAGAAAGAAAAATGATCTGAGCTTGATACTTGCAACAAAATAATTCAATAAAATGAAAAAACTGGACGGAGTTTTAGAATAGGTGTCAAAAAGAAGGTACAACTCACTTTGAGGAGTTATAATCTTGGACTCAAGCCAACAGTGAGGCTGATCAAAGCCACTTTTCCACACTAAAAAAAATATCATAAAAAAAAAACTGCACAAGAATGTACCCATGTGACACTTCTAAAAGAAAAGAGAATTTGCTGAATTGGCTGAGCTTTGATGAAAACAAACAAGGATGACAAAGCAACTTGTAAATGATACATTGCATATATAAAGTCCTAGCAGGTGGATATCACACATATTCTAAACACTGGAAGCTATGGACTCTACAAGCATCTCATCAATTTACTTCTCACTATAATTCTATGACATAGGTTATTATTCTCCCCACATTGTACATATAAGAAAACTTCAGGCTCAGGGAAAAAAATGCCTACAGCCACTTAAGATACTCTAGCCCTCCAATGTAGAACTAAACTCCAAGATCATTTTCTTACTCCTTACCTATTACTAATCAGAGAACTAAATAAGCTAGAATAGGAAAGGGGGCAGTCAGTTCTTCCAGAAAATGTGAATATACATGCATTACTTTTCCAGAACTGTTATAACAAAACAGCACAAATTGGGTTTCTTAAACAAGAAAATATATTTTCTCGCCATTTTGGAATTTAAAATTTTTAATGTCAAGGTATCAGCAGTTTGGTTTCTCCTAAAGTTTCTAAATGGCTTGCATATAAGCTACATTCTCTCTGTGGTCTCTGTTGGTCTTTTATCTGTGAGCCAGAACTCTAGTGTTTCTGTGTATCCAGATTCCCTTATACTTCGATGCCCATTAGACTATAATGGCCTTGTTTGAATTTAATCTTCAAGGGCCCCCAACTCCAAAGTAAATTGTTTTTTGAGGTAAGGTTGGAGCTTTAAAGTATGAATTTGGGTGGGTGGATACAATTCAGCCCTAAGAGTGTAATCATCAACTTTGACATTGTTAAGAGATCTACTA